GGATCCTTCAAACGTGGCTAAGAGCTATTTAAGGAGAAGGAGGAGATCAGAGAAAGGCTCTCTCTCTCTGGATTCATTCACGCTTTTTACAAATTTACACACACATTGTAACTCTCAAATCATTCGATTATATTCTTTGTACTCATCATAATCATCTTTGTAACCCTTATTCATCAATACAATCATAATTCATTCTCTAAGTTCTTAAGGGATTCAGCCCACGATTGTCTTCTCCCCAACCTTAACTTAACCTAAATCAGAAAGTGAGTTTTATCCCTCACAAGTAGTCCAACTCATTTTCTCTTCACACTTTATTTAAAAGCCATGGCCCTTTTATTGATCCAACAGTTAACCCATGTGCATGTAGTCAATCTTTGCTTCATTAAATATAAATTTGTGCTTAGTCTTTATTTGTGCTGCTCTATTCTTTGTATTTTCTGTTTTTTTATATAAAAATATTGAAAATTGGTAAAGAATGTTAACAACTTTACCAAAAAAACGTGTGTGTGAGTGTAAGTAAAATTTAGAATTATGTGTGTAAAATTCTCATTGTTTGAACCGAGTTCGGTCGTTTATCAGTAAGAAGGTGATGGAACTCGTCGGTGGGTTATTTCAAAGGCGTCTTATGATTTGTGAGTAAAAGATTCAGTTTATTAATGAGAGAGTTGGTGTACAAACAAGGAAACAAACGAGACGAGACGGCAATACTCAGTGAGTTAGCTGGAAAAGTACAAGTCGGAAAAGGTACAGAGAGTAAAACTCTAGATCTAGCCGCCTTGTAAGTCAGTGCTTGATTTCAGGATCCCCTTCTCGTTGCTTCCTCTCTCTCTTTTATAGTGATCTCTCTTTACCCTAAATGACCTAGGTCGGTGTCTCTTCGAAGGCCTCTCGCTGATGGGTCTCTAGGTCAGCCCATTAGCGTGACCTTTTAGCCGGCTGCTTTTAGTCGTCTAGTCACCGAGGCGATTAGACTTGAGCCAACCGAAGCGTCCCTGAGCCGAGCCGAGACGTAATCAGCTAATGGGCCGACATGGGTTGTTGCTAGATGAACCGAGCCTTAGACCATCCACAACGGCGATTCGTTGTGAATCCTTAGCATGAAAATATATGAGTTTAAGGTTTGGAAATTAAAATAAAAAGGAAAAAAAATGTAAGGATCAATCCTTACATATGGGTTTTACGGATCGGGTCCGTATCGACGTGGTGCGGAGTGGGAAAATGTGTTGCGCGTTGAACCAAAAAAACGAGCAGTCTCCTCCGATAATCAAGGTAAGTTTTGAATTCGAAGATGAAACCGGAGTTTGTTTGCTTGTTTAATCATAGTCGTCTTCTTAGATTGATTCTTTTTTTTTTCTTGGTAGATAATGTTTGAAATTAAAATAGCTAGGGATTTGAGAAAAATGCAGTGACGACTCCGAAAATATCAAGCACAACAGACCGGAATGAGTCGTTTCTTACTTTTATAGGAGATTCGTTTATGTGTCGATACCCCCGCTGAACTGAGCCTTCTCTTTTTATTCGATCTTTTTCTTAAAATCAAGTTTTTTTTTGTTTCTAAACGGATTAATGTTTTGAGTTTTGTGTAAAACCAGAATTTGTTTGCTTGTATCCTTTTACCTCGTCGAGCAGTGCTACGCAGAGGAAGATCAAGCAGCAATACGATCATCTTGTTAAGTGCAATAGTGCTAAAGGATTGACCTTGGCTCAGGTTAGCTGCTAAAGGTTATAGCTTTGTAGGAATTTGAACCTTAGATCAAAGTGTGATGCATTAATGTCTGCTAAGACAATGACTTTCCTAAGTTGAGCTAGGGGGTTTCAGTTATTTCTTATATGTTTGCTTTCTAATGATCTAGCCGTTTAGATTGATGTTCCTTTGGGTTATTCGTTTCTGCAGGTTGGGGAGTTTGCTAACTGTTTGATAGAAACCAAAAATGAATTGCAGAACAAGTAAGAGGATATCAGATATCCATTTCTGATCCTTGTCCTTTTGTTCGTCCTACATTTTGAGGACACAAGATTTTTTTTTGTACACTTTGGGAAAGATGTTACTGAGAGATTATAGTATGCTATAGACTCCTCAAGACTTAGATTTTTAGATGCATAGAAAATGCTAGCTCTGCTTTGTTCTCTGTGCTTAATCCTAAAGTTTACCTCTGATGGTGCATGTTAGTTGTTCAAGTGCCAACAATTTTCTTTTCCAATGATGATAATTTGAGGCTGATTGTTTTGTATTTAAGGTCGGAGATAATCAAGCGTAAATTTTCAATAACAAAAGATCTTCTATTCAAGGCTGATAGATCTTCCTTTGTTTTTGTGTGTGTGTGTGTTTGTATGTTTCTTTTAGGAAAAAATGTAATGTTTGTATCTCAACAGATCTACAAGCTGGAGATGGAACGAAAAAAAGTAGAAGAAGATGCACTTGTATATAACTGGCTCCAACAACAACTAAAACTTTCACCTACATACAAAAAGGTAAAGCCAAACTCGATCACTTGATCTATTGATAGTGTCCAAAGCCTCTACTTTGTTATTTATTACTGTATTGGAATTTGGTAACAAAATTCAAACTTACTTTGAGATTATGGTTTCTCTTTTTGGCTTAATTGTAGTTAAAGCCATGAGTACTGTTTTTGATGGTGTAGGTTCTTGAGATAAGCGCTTCCATGGAATTGAAAGAGAAATCAAGTACAGAGTTAGACAATGAAGATGATGAATTTTCAGACATCTCCTTCGAAGAGCTACTGGAACAGGAGAAGAAAGACTCCTTTTGGTTAGTAACTCTCTCTCTCGCTCTCTCAAACTTATTAGTAAACCAAAACTACTTGCTCACCAGCCTTTCAAAATAAAGAGAATAAACTTATATTCTTGATTGTTATCAAAAATTAAGAAGGTTGGAATTTTTTTTCTTTGATCAACAACATGCTCATGTTTAAAAAAAAAAAAATTCCTAAAGACTCTTAAATAGAATCTACTATTAGACTCACTTTTTTACTTAGAATCCTTAACTATTTAATTAAAAAAAATTGTAAAATAATGGCTAAGGACTCCTCCACCATTGTGAATGCTCTTATATCTAATGGGTTTTGTGAGAGTAATGGGTTTTGTGAGAGGAAGTAATTCACCTCCTACCCTCATGGTTCATGATGCTTGTGGAACTTAAATTAGATGTTTGCTAGGTGTGTGTTTTTTTTAATCAAAATTAAAGGGAATTACAATTCCACCCCTCGTGAAGCTTTTGATAATTCTCTTGTCAATTGCACAATCAGTATAGACGGAAACGAATCTTGGAACAGTAGTATCTCTTCTTTGAATCAATTCAATCATCATCTGCTCACTCATATTTTTAGGGTCCATGTCCGGGAACACCAATTGCACGGTCTACATAGGGAACTTGGACGAGAGAGTGAGCGATAGGGTTCTGTATGATATCTTGATCCAAGCTGGGAGAGTAATCGATCTACACATCCCTCGCGATAAAGAAACCGATAAACCCAAAGGCTTTGCCTTCGCAGAGTATGAGACTGAAGAGATCGCCGATTACGCCGTCAAGCTCTTCTCCGGTCTTGTCTCTCTCTACAATCGAACCCTCAAGTTCGCCGTCAGTCCTCCCTCCTCTTTTCTTTAACCTCTCTCATGTTATCTGGTACTGATTTTTCTTTTCTTTTCTTTTCGTGGAATTAGATATCAGGACAAGACAAAGCACAGTCAGGTTCGGGTCAGAGGGGAAGAACTCAGTCTCTGGGTTTTGAATATTCGGATAGAACTCATCACCATTCCGAGAGACTCTCATCACTGTTGATGCCTTCACCTACGCCTATGCCTCTTGATTACACTCAAGGTCTCCCTCTTGATTGTTTCATCGAATAAACCATAAATATATATCGAAACTTTTCTTAGATACGACACTGACTGTTGTTTGAATTAATCTGCTTCTTTACTCAATTTTTAACATAATATCTATACAAAGTCGAAAGCTTTCTTAGATACAAAATTCGTATAAGATGCTTTGTTAATAAATGAAATTAACACCAAAACTCTATTCCTAATGCTTTAAGGAAAGGAAGACTATTTTCTCTTGTATTTGATACCATAACGTGTAAGAAAGGAAGGAACCTTAACCTTTCTGGCCACTCTAATTTCTCTTTCTAAGTTTGAGACTTGATGTAGTTTCTTGGGTCTTTGCGTTTTTTTTGCAGAGCCACCTCCGCCAGGAGTTTCAAATGGAACCGGTTTGGAGTACAGCAGAAGGGTTCTGGGGTCGGCACTAGATATCAACCATTCAAGACCGGGTCGCTACTGATCTAGTGAGAAAACCACTTTTCTTTGCTTTTTTGTTGTTGTCATGATTAATTATAATCAGTGTGTCTTGATTCATCCTGCAAAGAAAGAACTAGAGGGAGGTGAAGGTTTCATGATTGTAATGTTCCAAGGAAGTTTGATGTAATTTTGTTTTTTTTCGTTGAAAAGACAGATTTTTCTGTGTTGTTTAGAACAAAGGTAACGTGTTTCAGATTTGAAACCAAGTAAGTGGATTACATTTGCAGGTGAATTAGCCACCATTTATTGTAGGCATTGTTTTCGTGACAGCAAGGTAAAACCTAGCGAGATCCAATAGGCAAAAATATTTTTTTATTAAAACTGGTTTGAAACTTCACCATTAGTAATTATTCAAACTTTGTTAGGCCGGTGAACCTGTATATCCCCTGGTTAAATTTCATCACTTATTATTCATCATTACATACAAAGTAAAAAAAATAGTTTGACACATACAAGTATACACCATACAGTCAGTACAATCAATCACACAATAAAAGTTAGAGAGAAGTTTAATTCTCATCATAGTAGTTCTGAAGGATCTGGGTCCTCACAGACAAAGGAATTGTAACGTTATGCACATAGTCACTCCAAGTCAAGCTCCCAAAGTAGTAGCCTGTGTTGATTTTGTGTGTGGTCGAGACGCTCACTTTGAAAGAGACCTTTTGGTTGGTCGAGTTGAACACTAGCGTTTCTGGTGTCACAGTCAATTGAACTCCCAATGGTGGCTCAACCGCTACTTTATAGACGGAGTTGAGTGGTCCAACATTAGTGAGGGTTCTAGTGAGAGTAACTTCATCTTTGAGGTTTGGGATTGTGATGGAAGGCAAGTTGAAATCAAGAACGGAAGGTAAGGGATTCGAGCAGACTGTTCCTTTACCGACAAGCTGAGAGATTGATGACTCGTTGTAACCAACAGAGCACATGTAGAGAACATAGTCTTCAAGGCCCAAGTCATAGACAAGACCTGGTTTTGCTGCTTTCTCTGGATTCACAAGACCTCCACCATAGTCAAACGGATCAGCTAGCTTCCGGGGTGACCCTTCTGCGAAAATCGGTTCTCCAGATGGATCTGTTCTCCAAGCTGCATAGTGTTTAAAAGACATTTGTCAGAATCAGTATGTTCTTAAAAGAGAGTTAAGTTCCATTAGTTTTCTAGTATTTTCCAAAGAAGGTAAGAAAGAACCTGTGGTGACAATGGCTGATCTAATGGCAGCAGGAGACCAATCACGGTGTGTCGATTTGAGAAGTGCAACAACACCTGAAATGGCAGGAGCCGCCATTGATGTTCCTGACATCATAATGAATCCTCGGTCGTTGAAAGTGGTGTTGGTGTTTGTAGCTGCTAATATGTTCACTCCTGGTGCTGCTATATCTGGCTGCATTGCCACAAATCATATGTGATTAAAAACATCTTGACACAAAGTCACTATTGTCAAAACAAGGACTCTGACGTACTTTAAGGATGGCAGGGGCAATTGAATTAGGTCCTCTTGATGAGAACTCTGCCACCTTTGTACCAACTGGTTGTCCAATGAGTGTTTTAGAAGGTTGAATCTTCACAACAGGCGATCTGCAGAAAGCCACAAGCAACGTTATCAAGTAATACAAGAAAACCAGAGTTTTTTTTATCACAATCTCTCAAAGTTTCATACCCACTGGAACGTATGTAGAGAAGTATATTTGTCCCCAGCTCGTAGTCAACAGCAACACAAGGGAAATCATCTACACACGGTGAGAGAGTGTGTCCTGGGTTTTTTGCGACAATTACACCAACACCACCAGCTCTTTTCACACTGCCTGCATCGCTTAATACAGCGCTTGAACGTTTTGATGTTGTAAAGAACAACGCAACTTTTCCCCTCACTTGACTATTTGAATTGATGCCAAGAAACACAAGATTAAACTTAGAGAATAGTAGTTGGTGGAACTGATGAAAATAATAAGAAACTAGAGATTTAGTATTACTCAGACAAAGTTTCGCTGCTGTTCTCTGAATCATCTGGGTAAACCAAGCTAGTGAAACCAATTTCTGGACCTGTGTACATTGCTTGACCCTGGAATAACAGTGATTGAGACCATTATTTTTTTGAAAACATCTAGACTTGGTATAACAATGTATATATCTTGTTGTTAATTACCAGGATGACTTTATTATTCCCAAGTGTAAGAGGCGTGGGGAAGGACCGGTCTAAAGTAGTTGCAGCCACTGTCAAGATCCAAGGAGCCACGTTTCCCACAGTCTGAGCCGCTGGGCCAGAGTTACCACCTGAACAAACAACTGTGATACCCTTTAAAATGGCATGGAAAGCCCCTGTAGCTATCGGATCGCGGACATCAGTCTCTGGGAAGTAAGGAACTCGATAGCCAAGAGACAGGGACAAAACATCAACACCATCATGTACAGCTTCATCCATAGCTTTCAAGATGTCAGCTGATGAACAAGTCACACCAAAATCATCCCAACATGCTTTGTACATTGCTATACGAGCACGAGGGGCCCCACCTCTCACAGTTCCTCCGGCTAGGCCCTTGTAGCTTATCCCGGGCAAGACCGAACCACCTGCTATGGTGGCGACATGTGTGCCATGACCATCAAAGTCTCTAGGGGAAATATAGTCTAGTGATTCTGTCACGTTGAAGCTTTCGTTCTCCGCAAGAAACCCACTCATGAAATATTTGGCTCCTATGAGTTTTTTGTTGCAGTGAGAGGAGTTAAAATCCTCTCCTGATTCACAGCCTCCTTTCCAGTGTTTTGGAACCGGTCCAATCCCATTTTCGTTAAAGACTTCAGACTCTGGCCATACTCCTGCAAATCAGTATATGTTTTTATTGATTATTCAGAAGCAACAGGACATGTATATGTACAAATTAACACACGTACCTGTGTCCACAACGCCAATGATAACTTCTTCACCCATATTACTGTCATTTAGAAGATTTTTCGGAGTGGCTGCTGAAAGGCCTAAGTAGTCCCAAGTCCGAGTTGTTGTCAGTTCGTAGAAAGTATCAGGTGTGACATGAACAACTTCAGGTAAATCTGTTACCACATAACATTATCAGTGAGGAACATTTCAGATGTGTGTAAAGAGAAAAATGAAGATGGCATGTAAATGTATGATGTAAACGTTTGTTTACAAGAAAGCCAAGAAAATAATGAGACGTGAGACATGATATGATGATACCTGCTATTTGCTTGGCTTGGGACTTGGTAAGCTTGGCTGCAAAACCTGAGAAGCCATGTCGGTAACTGTACACCATAGAATCATGAGCATCCTCTTTACTGTAATTTTGGGAACAAAACAAAACATAGAAATCTGAGTAACAGTTTGAAGCATCAATATAAACTTAGGAAAGAGAAACAAACTCTTTTTTACCTTCCAAGAAGTGACCACAACATCTGATGGTGAGATTCTGTGACAAATTCAGGATTATCATGCTGCTTCTCACCCAAATACACTATATGAACCTATTATTGTTTATAACAACAGAAGCAACTTTGTTAGTCTATCGGTGTCTGCTTATGTTACTGGTCAAAATAATAATAATCATTGTCGAGTACCTTTCTGTCAGCAGCAGCTCGTGCCACGAAACTGCTCTGCCCATTGAGAATTATTAGCAGAGTTAGCACCACAAAAATTCTGTAATTCCTCATTCCAAGCAGAAAAAGGAGTCGCATTTCAAATCTTAAGCCAAAAAGAGAGAGATAATGAGATGTAATGTACTTGTATACCAATATCGAGAACGCTCAAACATTTATAGAGATTTCTGCTCAAGAAGAGTTTGACCAAGAATGTTTCTATTCTACTTATTAGAACTGTTCTAACTTTTTATTGTTTGAATCTCTTATTTAACATCAAATGTAGAACAACAAAGCGCAGACACACAAATATCTAAAGAATACGTCAAGCTGCGTTGCTTATTCAACTAAATTATAGTTTATTTGCAAAGAATGAAGCAACATAACCAGGGTAATGAAAAAAATAAAATAACCAAGTCAATAAACATATCTCAACGAAGTACAATTGTTAACTATAACAAGTGCAAAGGCATCTTGATTTGACCATAATATCAGGTTTCCATGCTCAGTCAAGCTTGCTTTGACGCACTTGAGGATGGGTGTAAGCAAGCGTTTTGACCAAAGAAATGGGTAACTGTTTAGTTTCAGAATTTTACTTGGTATGCACTAGGGCTGGGCATTTTATTCGTTATATTTGATTCGATTCGTTATTCGTTTCGATTCGATCCGAAAATTTCGGATATCAGTAAACTTTCGAATCAAAGCAAATACTAAAATTCAATATCCGTTAAAATCGAAGCAAATCACAAATATTAAAATTTTGGGAAGCGGATATCCGATCCGATCCGTAAATATATAAATATATGNAGTAATCAAAATATGTGAGATATCCGTAAATATTCGTAAATATCCGCAAATATCTATTTATTTTCCGGATATCCGTTTTTCCGGATATCCGTATTTTTTCGAAGCAAAGCAAATACTAAAATTAGATATCCGTAACATTCGAATCAAATCACAAATACCTTAAAAAACCCGGATATCCGATCCGTGCCCACCCCTAGTATGCACCATGTTTATTCCTGTGTTCTACAGAAATCAGAAAAAGTCTAATATGACTTTGAGAAAACAAATAAAATATTTATTGATTTTCTTTATATTGTAAATTACATGTTTGAAGTATTTTAGCGGAAAAAGTACTCTAGTGTTGTTAGTTTGACCAGTTATATTCTGAGTTAATACTTTAAAATTACATATTTGAAGTAATTATTTGCAACTAAGGCTTCCAGAATTAGTTAGAGGTGAGCTTACCCTTCAAATGCATATGACATAGTTAAAGGTGACCTTACCCTTTTTGTATAAGAGATCATGGTGCCCATTTAAATAAGGCTTCCAGAATTAGTACCATAAGAACTGATGTTATTTAATTTTTCATTCCAAACAGGAAAAGAAGTCCCCTTTTTTATTCGCAAGCAACAAATTGAGATATGTAATATACTTGGACAATGTCTATATCGATGTCTACTCAAGAAGAGTTTGACCAAGAATGTTTTTTACTTGTAGGATTTGTTCTTACTTTTGATTGTTTGAAGGGACTTGTTTGAATCTCTTATGATACATCATAATTAGACACAGTAAAGCACAAAAACAAAAACAAAAAATATATACAGATATAAAGAAAATGCTCAAGATGTGTGGATTAGTCAACTAATGTATAATTTATTTGCAGAGGATGAAACATCCAACATGGCAATAATCATACCTAAACAAAGTATTGGTAACCATAATGAGCAAATGGATGGATCAACAAACATCTATCAAAACGCAAGTTAAGAGTAAGCCTCATGTACTGGTCAGTAAACCTTGCGTGGATGATCTTGTAGGGTGTAAGGAAGCGGATAAGTTTAGATTCGTAATCTCTCTTACTTTCGTTGCTCCATCATTCCATGAAACTTCTTCCTGAGGCAGACACCTTTCATTATATCAATACACTTGTTTCTTGTTTGGTCTATCTACTTACATCATTGATTTATTCCCTTGGTGTCTTGTAATATATCTCAAAATCCTAATGGGTCATACAAAAAGTGATCCTACCCTGCAAGTGATTGAGACAATTAGACTCCTCTGTACAATGTATGTATCTCTGTGCTCGCTTTCATACCTCCTCCCGTTCACGTGCTTTCTCTTGTCTCGTACATTTCTGTTTTCTTGTATACAAAAGGTTCGTTTCTTTTACTTGACTGGTGGAACAGAGAACAAAGAGAAGATGTCTTTGCCTGCTGAGTTATGATAATGTGGCTGCTTCTTTGCCAAAAATCAACACAGATTACAAAATCAATACACAGAAGAAGTCATGATTGTAGGAGAAACATAGCAAACTGGCACTGATGTAACCTTTTTCTACTTAAAAGACAGATTTTTGTTTTGTTTTGTTTTGTTTTGTTTTAAACAAAAGTAACGAGTCTCAAGTCTTAAACTGTTACATTTATGATTTTATTGGTAATGAAAATACAAACCCAAGTTACAAAAGAAGATTTTGCATATACAAAAGCATTAGCCACCACTTATAGGAGGTATAATGGCTAACTCATCTCTGTGGTTAACAATGGCCGAATCAGTAGTATATTCCTCGTTCAAAGCAAGAACGACGCAGCTGCGCACCTCTTCTAACTTTGGAAACTTGATGACCAACTCGTCCATACATTTCTTCGTTGTACTACCTGATGGCATCTTCAGTGTTAGATCAGGCACACCCGTGAGCTCACGCGCTCTGGCGAATAACAACACTTTAATCTCGACTGATGAAACGTCATCGTTTACAGTCTTTGAAACCTCTTTCTTCGCTGCTTGTCCGGTAACTTCCATGACCAAATAACTTGACAAAAAGAAAACACAAGGATTAACAGTGGTTGAGTCAAGGCGAAGAGAAGCAGAAAGTCTCCAACTTTGATCTAAGCTCCAATTCGATTTCAACGCATCGGAGTTGCATAAGCAAGAAACCATTTCAATTTTCAGATATTATCGCTTTTAATTTCTGATGAAACAAGTTCTCTGAATATCGGGGCTATAAAGAGTTTACCCGGGGGGTGATTAAGCGAAACCGTGAGATTCGATCGTCGGAGATTCCAGCGACGGAGGCAGAGTATCGATTTCAGGGGAATCGCAATCCGGAGCTGAGAAACCAACCACGAGGAGATGTTGTTTGGTCAGCGTCGACAATTTTGATTTGTTTTATGTCCAACCCTGACGACCAACCCCCACGAGCCACGTCATCTCATGTTGCTTAATATTACTAAACTGTCCCTCGTTACACGAACTGAGAGTAAAAGAATATTCAAACAAAAACCAAATCTGTGATAGGGACGAGTTTGTGAATGGACTTTAACCATTAGTCAGTCTTAGGACCAGCCCAAGGTCATGACCCAATAGTAGTATAGGCGGCTGGGTCCTATTTCCATTCTTATGTATTTCCAATTCCTTGTTACTTTAGGAATTGAATGTTTTCCATTTATCTTATTCTTGTAACCCATATATATATGGAACCTCATAAGCAATAATAATATACAGATTTCATCTTGGTTTACAACACGTTATCAGCACGAATTGCTCTGGTAATTCAAGCAAAGAAATCTGAAAAAGAAATCAAAACCCTAATCGAGCTCTCTCTCTCTCATCCGTACCAGCCGCAAGAACCTCACCCGATCTTTCCTTTTCCCCGGCGAGCCTCCACCCGCGTTTCCTTTTTCCCGGCGAGAACCCTAGCCGAGTTTCCTTTTTCCCGACCAGCCGCCTCACCCGATTTCCTTTTCTCCATCGACCAAGTTTCCTTTTTCCCGGAGGAAGCCCTAGCCGATAGCAGAACCAACCGTACCAGCCGCCAGAGAATTTCCTTTTCTCGTCCAAGAACCCTAGACGACCCGGTGATCCGTTCGCGGTCTTCTCTCATGTTCTTGGTGGTCCGGTTACTTTAAATCTGCAAAAGAAAAGGAATACACATTAATCTGAGGACATAGAAACAATCACCATAGATTTTAAGATTGTTTTGCTAAACCCTAAAATTTGAATGAACTAGAATTTGATTCTCTCTTTCTACCTTTCTATAACCCTCATCTTGAAATCAATTCCAAATTAATTTTGTTTGATTGTTTATATGATCATATCTGAGAATTTAAAAACCCTAAGTTATGGAATTGTAACCCTAAACCCTAAAATCGGATTTAATTTGTTTTTGATTGTTTAAAATTGTTTGTTTGAGGTTTAGGATTGTTAGATTGATTGTTTAATTTAAGAACCTAAAACCTAAAGGCCTTGAAACCTTTTTAAGATCATAAGGCCTTGAAACCTTAAACCCTAAACTGATTTAAGATTGATTGCATGAAAAGTTTTTTTTTTTAAGAAAACTGATTTTTAAGATTGCAAAAGTTTTAAAACCAGTTTTAAGAATTTTTAAAACTTCTTTGAATGATTTTTATGAAATTTTTAACTCTGATTTCAAGTTTTAAAATTTTTAAAAGTTGATTGTATGATTGTTTTACCTTAGCCGCCTGTTTTTATTGTTCTTGGGGCCTTGAAAACCCTAATTTTTCTTGATTTTAAATTTGATCTAAGGGCTTTGAAAACCCTAATTACCACAATTAATAAAATCAGGGGGAGATTTAGTATGTTTGATTTTGTTTAATTGTGTGAATGAATGATTTTATGAATGGCATCATATTGTTGAATTTGGTTGCATTCATATTGTTAAATAAAACCGACCAGCATATGTTTTTGATGTCATCTCACCCATTCCGACCAATGCTGAACCATATGAGTTTTGAGTGACCATAATGGTGTGTTTTGTTTGTCTTCACAATGGTCATTGTAGTTACAAGTATGGTTTGGTTTGTGGTTGTAAAGTAGTCAAGAAATCACAAGTTTTTATGAAACCCTAATGTGTGTGGTTTATGTGATTCAGATGTCTAAGATTGCAAACCTTGACTACTCAGCTCTTAATTACTCTGGAGATAACTACCTGCAGTGGGCTCTTGATACTAAGATCAATCTGAACTCTAGGGGCCTTGGTGATACCATTGAGAAAGGCAATAATGAGCCTATTAAGAGCCAGTATAAGGCAATTCAGATCATACGCCACCACCTTGTGGAAAGGGCTTAAGAATCAGTACCTCACTATGGTAAATCCACTTGAACTTTGGGACGCTTTACAGCGACGTTATGATCACCAGAAAACGGTGTAACTCCCAAAGATTTGAGATGAATGGAAGAACCTGAGATTCATGGATTTTAAGACCGTGGATGAGTACAATTCGGCCTTGTTCCGAATTGTATTTATTGAGGCTATGTGGTGATGTTGTGACTGAGGAGAATATGCTTGATAAGACATATTCCACTATGCATTCTTCTAATGCAGTGTTGCAACAACAGTATAGAACTAGAGAGTTCCCCACATATGATGATCTGATTGCAGTCTTGCTCTTGGCCGAGGCCAATAGCCAATTGTTGATGAGAAACAATGCCCTTAGACCAGCAGGTTCAGCACCCGTACCGGAAGCTCATGAGGTCGAGCAAGATCCGACCAAGGAATCCAACTACGCCCATGGTGATAGGAAACCACACGGTCGAGGCCGTGGTGGGTTCAAGGGGCGTAGTGGTCGAGACCAGTACCCGTACGACCGTAGATCTGGAAACCACAATAACCGTGGTCGTGGTTCCAGCTACGGCCATGGGAGAGGCCAAGGAACTGGCCGAGGCCGAGGTGGCTCGAGCAAGCCTTCTCACTCGACCAAATCTGTCTGTTACATATGTGGTAGCACTGGACACTTCCAGAAGCAATGCAGAATTCCTAAGCATCTAATTGAGCTATATCAAGAGAAGATGAAGAACCAGAACCCGGAGGCCCACATGGTTCATGGTTCCGGTTATGAGGCTGATGATGATGATGAGCTTGAGAAAAATGATATGGATTATGAGACTGCTGATTGTCTAAAGGACTAATCAGATTGACATTTTGGTTTTAATATTTATGTTATTGGTGTTTTTTATTTTAAAGAATGATTGCTTGATGATTGTTATGGATTTTGGTGTTTTATTTATGATATGAGATTTTATTTATTTATATTCTGAGTTTATGAATTTTTATGTATAGTATGATGAATGAAGTGATGAGTACACTTGTGGTTGATAGTGGTTCCAGCCATACTATACTTAAAGACAAACGATATTTTGTGAACCTTACAATGCAAAGTGCCAATATACACACTATTGCAGGCGTGGCCAATCTTTTAGAGGGCCACGGCCAGGCCTATATCTTATTGCCTAGAGGCACTCAACTTGAGATTAAAGATGCCTTGTATTCCCCAAGTTCCAAACAGAATCTATTGAGTTTCAAGGACATAAGGTTGAATGGTTTACACCTTGAAACATGGGAAGAAGGAATGAAAGATTTCCTAAATATTGTTTTGATCACCAAAGGCATTAAGAAAGTGGTAGAGACAATACCTGCAATAGCTATTGGTCTTTATCTTGCAAAGATCAGTATGGTCGAGGCCAATGCCTGCGACAGCTTTACTTTATGGCACGACCGGCTCGGCCACCCGGGTCATAACATGATGCGGAAGATGATTTTGAACTCTAAAGGGCACAAGTTCAAAGGAGTTGTCCCTAAGACTCTCACGTGTGATGCATGTTCACAAGGGAAACTCATAACCAGGCCATCACCAGTTAAGGTTACTAAGGAAAATTAGTTTTCTGGAAAGGATTCAGGGAGATATATGTGGACCAATACACACCACCTAGTGGGACGTTTAGATATTTCATGGTCTTGATAGATGCATCGACCAGATGGTCGTATGTATGCTTATTGTCCACAAGGAATATGGCCTTTGCAAAGTTGCTAGCTCAGATCATTAGATTGAGAGCACATTTTCCAGATTTTCCTTTAAAGACTATACGTCTAGATAATGCTGGTGAGTTTACATCCCAGGCGTTTAATGACTATTGTATGTCCATGGGAATAAGTGTGGAACATTCCGTGGCACATGTACATACACAGAACGGCTTGGCCGAGTCTTTCATTAAACGTATACAGCTGATAGCCCGACCATTACTCATGTGGTCGAAGCTCCCGGTATCAGCTTGGGGACATGCCATATTACATGCAGCTGAGTTGATCCGCATCAGGCCATCTAGTGAACACAAATATTCTCTATCCCAGTTGATTACGGGTCAAGAGCCAGACGTGTCCCATATAAAAACT